TCACAGGTGTCACTGGCTTCCCTCCTTACCTCTGAACCCTCTTTCTCTTCCAGGGCGGGTTTGCCCCCTGCTTCCTTGGCTGTTTTCTGGCTTTGGTGGGCACGCTCAACGGCTTGTCCATGGAAGAGAACTGGAGCAAGATCAAGCGGGTGAGCCAACGCTGGGGATGCCCCGGGGAGGGGGGCGGGCGCAAGGAGATGCCACACGGCATGGCCCAAACCATCTGGCAAGTTCATCACTCTCTCACCTGAACTGCATCACTCTCTCACCCTGACTGGCCACCCCAAATAGTTCTGTGTGAGATATTCCATGTCTGCTAGGCTCCCATTGCTGCAGTGAAGGCAATAGCTGCCGTTCATTCGTACAGGTAAGTATAGGAAGTCGTGAATGTGGAAAGAGGGCTAGAAGTCCCTGCAGTCCAACCCCCTGCCGAACGATGGGGCCATCCAGACTTTGGCTGAGGCTGCCAGTGGAAGGGCAGGTGTGCTGCGGGCGGGGCTCTGGGTATGAGCCGGCCTGGGAGTTCTTTCAGTGCTGGAGTTCAGAACTCCTTTGGCTCTGCTGTTTGCTGAGCATCTCCCTCTTGCCCCCGGCACATCCATCTAGCTCCCAGCCTTCTGGGAGGAAGCCACTTGGCTCTCCCCTGGAGCTCTAACCACTTCAGTGTCCAAGCAGGAGCTCTGATGGTGAGCCCAGAGGGGAGACCTTTGGATTTGGCAAAAGAGGATCACCTTAGTGATTTGGATGAATTTATTTATTTATTTATTTTATTTATACCCCGCCCTCCCCGCCAAAGGCAGATTTTGGGGCTCAAGAGAGAGCGAGTCCATGGGAAAACTACACCCCGTAGAAATGGGGGGGGGGGGTGGCATAGAAGTTAGCTGGAGATGGGTTTTAGAAAATGGGGAGGGGGAACAGTGGCATGTTACGAAACAGTAGGGAAGGCGGAGGACAGGGGTTGACTGGCGTTCCCTGGGAGGTGGCAGCCGCCAGACAGGAAGGCAGAGGTCCAAGCGGGCTGTGTGGAGGAGGTGGGCAGGATCAAGCAGGCCGTCAACTCATCCCTGTAGTGACCTTTGGGGGCTTCTTGACTGTGGGTGCAGTGCCAGCCCTGGCTCTCTGCCATTGACTCCCCTCTCCTAAAGCCCCATGTTGGGATGCAGAGATGCTTCTGGAACCCAGGTGAGCCACTGAGTCAGTGAGTAGCTGCATCGGGTGAGCTGGCAGCCACAGAACTGGGGGGGGCGGGACGGAGGAGGCAGCCCTCTTGCATAAGGCATTGTCATTTCCTGGCCACTCTGCTCCAAGGCTGAAGTGTGCTCCGCTTCTTCTGAAATCCAGCTCTTTCCTGTCTTCCTTGGCCAGGGGTGAGCCGTCATCCCCTTCACCACCCTCGTCAGCTGAAAAATCACACCCTGCCAAATATGCCCAGTTCCTTTTGCCTGTTTTCCTGCAGTTTGTCTCTTCAGTCATCCTCGTCGGACTCCTCCCAAACACCCTGGTTGAGCTGGTGTGCTTGGAACTGAGGTCTTGGCAATGCTGGGCCCGTTTGTCTTTCTGGCAAATCAGGATCCAGCCAAAGAAGGACCTTGTCGTTGACTGGCGCCCACTTGGGCATCTGCTCTTGTCCCCACACCTCCCCTTTGGAAGGCCCTGCTCTCTCTCTCGCCTGTCGCCTCCTGCTTCCGGCAGTGCCAGGGAGCTGTCCCCCCCCCCCCCCCCCCCCGCTCCTGCATCGGCACCCGCTGAGTCACTCAGTGGAATCTTGGCTCATGGGCCGGCTGGTTTGACACTCACGGTCATGATACAATAGCAATAAGATGTCTGAGCAATATGTTTTCTGTGTTTTCCTTTCCTTGTCCAGCACAGAACTCTCTCATCTCTGCGTCGACTAAGAACCACTTGTTGTTTGCTAACCAGAGATGAGTCAGGAGAGAGTAAATTTCAAAGAGCTCTGGTTCAAAGGCATTTGTGAGGGTGGGTGCCATCAGTGGGCGAGGGGCAGGGAGGGTGATTGGGAGCCCAAACCCAGCAAAGTGCCTGTACCCTCAAAATCATGCTGAGCCAGCCAGGACCCCACGTGGGGAAGTTAATGCCAGAGTCCCTCTCCTGTTTTTTGCCTTCTCAGTCCCCCACACTCAATCCTGTTTTCATGTACCAAAGAAATGAAGTTTGGGGAACCCAGTTACCTGGGATCTGTGCGCTCCCAAGGCAGTTTGTTAAAATACCCACCTGTCCTCCCAACCCATAGCTGGAATCAACTCAACAATCAGTAATGCAACCAGGCTTGAGCAAGAAAGCACACACCTGATTACCCTCTAGTTTTGCATTGCTTTAGGTAGACAGTCCTTTGACCAGAGCCAGCATGGAGAAAGTTAGGCTTCCATTGGTTGAAGCGATGCTGCTTTGTTCGTAAATTGGAATTCCTTAATGTGATACTGGTTCCTCTTCCTGTTGAACTTCTTTCAGTCTTCTTCCCCTAGAATGGAATTCTGGGATGTGGTTGGTGGAACTCCCAACTCTGCCCACATCCTGGCGTCATGAATAGGAACTGGCATTGACTGTTGCAGACTTTTTAAATATATTTATTTATTTATTTCAATTTATATTCTGCCCTCCCTGCAGACAGGCTCAGGGGCGGATCACAAGTTCTGAAATACATCAAATACATATATTAATAAGATAATTAAAACAGTTTTAAAACAACTTTAAAACTCTCTTTTACAGTTGACTGGTTTACAACACGTTTTATTTTATAAAGCTCCTCCTCTCTTGTTTGAACAAAGAGTTGGGATTTTTTAATCATGACACATGTTAATTCTCTTAGCAAAACCCGGGACTCCACAACCCAACTCTGCCAGCTTGACAACTAGCTAAGCATAACTTTTTTCCTTGATGAGATTGCAATTTTTACATAAATTCTGTACTTCTGTACTTTTGGCTTTTATGGCTCCCTAGTGCTGCTGTTTGTTTGGTGCATTTTTGTACCCCAGTATAAAATAGTAGTATGGTAAAGTCCCACCCATTGTATCTGAACAATATCCTCTAGACCACAAGAGTTTATGGTGGAATACAAGGTGGTTAGTCGGTAAGGGTGGTACCCACAAGACTCAGGTTTGTTTGTTTATTTGTATGCCTTGTAAGCTGTCTTGAGGATGTTAGACTGCAGAGGCCAAGCATCCCTTTTTAAGTAAACAAGACTGATGCGATGCTGGGGGCAGAGGGAGGGCACGGCTTTGGTGAGTGCTGCTGCAATTTTGAATTCCTGACATATTCCACCACCACCCCCGCCCCCATGCTTGAGGTCTGCATTCAGCCAACCCTAAATAGCCAGATCTTCCATTTGCCTTTCACACATGGTGCGTCGCTTCTGCTGCATTTTGCGCCACAGACAGCATAATCCAAGTTGGGCCTTTGCCAGGCCTTGCCATTCAGGCCACCTGCCAGGTGTCGCGTTTATCTTTGGGAGTCTCCGGCTGGGCCATGGGGCATCTATGCCAGGATATAAATAGCCTCCCTCCGAGACTTCCTTTTAAACTGTCCCTAAAAGCTGCAGTTTCTCTGTGTCTCGCCAGCCTAGCTGTTGCATCAGCAGGGCCCCCTTTATCAGCTGGCTGGCAGTGGGTCAGACTCTGGTACATCTTTCCTTTTGAACCCCGTCCAATCTGGCAGAGGGCAGATAACTGCAAGGACGGGGTTGGCAAAGGTGGTGCCTGAGAAGTTAGGAGAATGACCCACAGCTGGGTGTATAGTTCCTCACCACCACTACCAAGGATATGAACAATCCAGAAAGAATGGAGGAGGATGGTGAAGATGATGTGAAGTCCTGTGTAGAAAGACTAAAGGAACTGGGATATTTAGTCTCTAGAAAAGAGGACTGGGGAACACGTATTGCTAGCACTGCTGAAGTGTTTATCGGAAAGAGAGAAAGAGAGAAAAAGAGAAAGACAGTTTTTGATTGAGCACCTCTGCTGCAGGCAAAGAGATGAGCAAAAGAAAAGCTTTGAGGGAGGGAGATTTTAAAAACTTTGGATTCCCTGTATGGAGCAGTGCTTAGGGGGTTGGACTAGGACCAGGAAAGACCAGGATTCAAGTCTGCTGTGAAGCTCATGGGGCGACGCTGGGCCCAGTCACCTGTTCTCTGTCAATGGAATGTACCTTGCAGGGCTGTTGTGAGGATAAAACTGCAAGGTGGGGGAGAGCCATGTATGATGCTTGGAGGGGCAGGATAACAATAAATGAAGTTTTGTCTAAACATTACAGAGTTTTCTGACCCTGCGGCAGCTGCCCAGGAAGGTCCTGGGGTCTCTTTCCATGGAGTTTTCCAAGAGAAGGCTGGGGTCAGCATCTGTCCAGGGGTGGTGGGGTCTGGCTGAGATGTGGGGAGCTGATGCAGGCCCAGGTGGAGCCCTCTGATCCGTTTCTGCTACTTCCTTACAGGACTACAAAGATACCCTGATCACCAACTACTATGTGAGTAGCTCTCCTGCCTCTTCAGTGGGACTCGCACTTGGGGCAGCAGCTGGGTACAAATGTCACGCCACGCCATGCCAGGACAGCATCGTCTGGCTCAATCGGGGGGGGGGGGGGTGACACAAGAGGTGCTGCCATGTCAGGGGAGGTGCTGCTTCACTGCCTTTTCTGAGGGCTGTAAAGAAGGAGTGGCAGTGACCCATGGCAGAAGGTCCCGAGTTCAGTCCCCGGCTGGCATCTCCATTTTAACAGAGCGAGGAACAGGTGCTGTGCAAGACCTCTGCCTGCGGCCCTGGAGAGCTGCTGCCTGTCAGAGTAGACAATACTGACCTAGATGGACCAAGGGTCCAGCTCCTTAGGAGGAAGCGTGATGTATTCGTGTATAGCAGTGGCTCAGTGGTAAAGCACCTGTTTTGCATGTAGAAAGCAATCCCTGGCATCTCCTGGTTAAAAGGATCAAGCAGTAGGTGATATGAAAGCCTTCTGCCTGAGACCTTGGAGAGGTACTGCCTGCCAGAGCAGGAAACACTGACCTTGATGGCCCAATGATCTGATTCAGTCAAATGCAGCTTCATGTGCTTAGGAGGTTGTGATAACCATAGTGAGAGGGAGGCGGAACTGGGTAGGTTGGCCCCTTTCTACTAGTTGGGGCTCAGCAGTTGGGCCTCCCATTCATCCCCAGCTGCATCTCCTGTGCAGTTCCTCATTGGCCGAGACAGATAGGAGGGGCGGGCTCCCATTTGGGGTCAGTGTTCCTTCCCCCAACTATGCCGTGTGTCTTTCAGATCTGGCCAGCTTTGCAAGTTGTCAACTTCTACTTCGTCCCTTTGCACTACAGGTAAAAACTGCTCTCCCTGCATGCCCAACTTTGCCCCCCCTCTCTGTCGGCAGCTACTGACTTGGAAGCCACCTGGACAGCAATGTTCCCAGTGTACATCCTAGTGCTTCAGGAACTCTCCCCACCAACTTTTGGGTTTTCCAAGTCACACACCTAAGTGCAGGCCCCACAGCTTGCCCTCTGCTGGTGTGGGTCAGTCTTGGTCTCCCACCCCCTTCCTTCTTTCTCCGCCCCCAGGCTGGCTGTGGTTCAGTGTGTCGCCATCGTCTTCAACTCCTACCTCTCCTGGAAGACTAATCAACTATGACTTGGCAACGTGGACAATCAGAGGCTCTTCTGGACACCAGCACATCAGTGCCCGCTTCTTCCTTCCCGGTGCCTCATCCAGCACGTGCTCCCTTTGGCCTCTGTTTCTCACCCAGGGAGGCTGTCTGTTGCACACAGCAGAGTGTCCTGCCTCGGCACCCCTCTTCCCCAGTCACCCCTGTTCAGTCTTCTCAGCCCTACGCAAGTTGAGACTACCTCAAACCACAATCAAGAGAGCCTGACAGTGTGTATGTCTCTGCCAGCCTGAGTCAGGAGAGCAGGGAGGTACAGGCTATCCATCGGAAGCTACACCATTTCCTGTGATGTGGAAGACCTTAGTAGTGCTGTAGGCATTCAGAAACTTGCTGTTGCATTTGTAGTAGGAACCTTTTTGGAAACGGAGCATTAAGGTGAGGCAGACATGGAGCCGAAAGCCTTGCCAGGACCCAACTGCTGTTAGTAATTTCCAGAGGGCTTCACAGCTCTGCGTTCCATTGGTACTCATAAGTAGATGCCACAAAATGGGTAGATTGTACAGTTTCCAGGTATTGGGTCCACTCTGTGTGTCTTCAAGACCTACTTGTCATTCTAATGAATTAATAAGCTGCTACACCAAGTGGTCATAGTCACTGTCTTGGATGGATTTCAGAAGAGGTGATGGGTGTCTCAGTGGGTTCCAGTAGGCATGATGGCTGAATGTAACTTCCATGTTCAGAGGCAGTGTACCTCTGCAGAGCTTCCGTAACCTGCTATCAGAAAGCAGATAGGGGACTGAATGGACCTGTGCTCTGATCCAGCAGGAGGCTCTTCTCATGTATTTGTGGACTCTAGCAGTTCGAAAGCAAGAAATTGCAAGTAGATAAATAGGGACCACTTCGGTGGGAAGGTAACAGCGTTCCGTGCACCTTGGTGTTTACTCATGCCGGCCACATGACCACGGAAACGTCTTCGGACAGCGCTGGCTCTTCGGCTTTGAAACGGAGATGAGCACCGCAACCCTAGAGTCGGATTCGACTGGCTTTCGAGCAAGGAAACCTTTACCTTTACCTGTTGACTGAAGTAAACGAGTTGTGACAAATCTGGACACTGGAGCAAATGTAAATGTGCACATGTTCTCAGAAATCAGGATAGATGGTCTCTAGGGTCCTCCTGAACCAGCATTGTGGCTTCAGAAATGGGGCTGGTCTCAGTGGAGGGTTTATAGAACACATCTCTGTATTTATTTAGAAAATTTCTAAGCCATTTCTCCATAAACCTTGTTCTCAGCAGGCAGTACATGATATGCCAGAGCAGAAAAGGCAGTAGTAGAAAGTAGTAGAAAGCAGCAGGTGATGGGGCTACCATCAGCCTCAGAGAGGAGCCCTGGAGCAGTGTGGAGTGTTCAAAGATCCTATCTGCTTCACTGTACTAAATATGGGGAAATCCTTGAGGGAGGAATCACATTTTTTTAAATAGCTAAAGACTGTATAAAATGTAGGGATGGGCACAGACTGGGAAAGCCTGGTTCACTTTGGGGCTCACGAACCAGGCAACCCCGAACCGAACCCCCGAGGAAAAAACCCGCCCAAACTGAACTGGTTCCAGCAGCTTCGGGCCCCTGCTGCGCCTGTGTCATCTGGAAGTGATGTGAGCGCATCGCCCCCCCCCCCGATGCACTTGCATCACTTCCAGGTGATGCAGGTGTGCCAGGGGCAATGCCCGATGCCAGCTGGAACTGGCGTGCACGCGTCGGGGGTGAACCTCGAATTGAACTGAGCAGAAGCTCAGTGAGTATTTGGGGAAAGGCGCCGTTCACAAACCAGACTTTGGCTCAGGCTCGACTCTGTGCCCATCCCTAATAAAATGCCACTTAACATCCAAAGAGAGTGGAGAGCCTGCAGCTCAGCGCTAAAGTATCTGCTTTGCATGTCGGTTCAATCCTGGACATCTCCACTGAAAGCCTGGTGCTTAGCCCAGGGGATTAATGGGTCTTTAAGGGGAGAGGGGCTGTGGTTCAGAGCTAATAGAGTCGGCTCTGCATGCAGAAGGTCCCAAATTCAATCCCTGGCATCTCCATTTAAAAGGATCAGGGAGAAGGCAGTGTGAAAGACCTCAGGCTGAGACCCTGGGGAGTTGCTGCCAGTCCAAATCAACAGTATTGGCCTTGATAGACCAGTGGTTTGACTTGGTGTGTAAGGCAACTTCATGTGCGCTCAGGACCCCAACAGGGACATCTTAACGTTTGCCTAGCAAGTTGGGATATAAATGGAAAGTAATACTAAATAAATAATAAAGAGGATCACATCCCAAAGAAAGAAAGACTGTGGAAGTTTAGTTTAGCCGTCTTTCTCATACTTTATATTTGCCAGGTAAAATAAGTACATGCTTGTAGGCCATGTAATGTGGTAGGAGACCAGGGGGTGACGCTTCATGGAACAGCTGCCTTCACTCCTACAGATGGCTTGCTGCTGCTACGGGGGGGGGGGGGGGGGGCTGGCTCCCTTGGGAGTCCCTCGTCCTTTCCCTGGGACAAAGGCCACACGCTGCAAGGCAAAACGGACTTGAGTTCCGCCAGGCTGCTTCTTGGCCAATCATTGCCTGCTCCCTCTGTTTAACCTGCCCGGGGCTCTGTTTGTCCAGGAGCGAGGTAATTGCTGCCTGATGTTTGCTTAGTGTCCCAGGCATCGGGCTTCAGCTGGTGCCAGCACTGCAGCTTTGGTAGGGGCTCGGAGATAGGAACGCCAGGCCACCTTCCCTTGGGGTGGAAGAGCTGGCACAAAGGGAGCATAATGTACCTGAGCAGAGGTGTTTGCCAGCACATTTTGGGATGGGGGTGCATTCCAGGAGCGGGCATTCAGCAGTAGTACACCTGTCATGTAAAGTTGAGCCCTTCCTTATTAGGCACATGTGGCACAGCCACACATCCTGGGGCTCAGGTGTCTGAGGAGGCTTCAGCACAGCTGTAATCCACAGCTGCATTGCTCTTAAGTGGAGTAGGCAAGATCTGCAGCACGCTGATCAGCTGGGCCAGCAGAAAGATGGGTTCTGTCTTGGGGCGGGAGGCTTTGTGACAGGGTGTAGTGTATGTGCTGATTTAACCCAGTACTTCAAAGGACGTTTTGAGGAATCAACATCCATATTCTGTTGCAAGTCCATAGACTCTTGCCCTCGCCTTAGATGGTCCAGGCTAGCCTGACCTCATCCGAACTCAGAAGCTAAGCAGGATCAACCCTGGTTAGTATTTGGATGGGAGACCACCAAGGAAGCCCAGGGTCACTACACAGAGGTAGGCCATGGCAAACTGCCTCTGAATGTCTTTTGCCTTGAAAACCCTACGGAGTCCCATAAGTCGGCTTCAATTTGACAGCACTTTCCTCCATCACCATATAGAATTTTAACTGGCTTGGAGTTTGTCAGGTTCACCAAGGGTGGGTGGCAGGGAGAGTCTGAGCTCCCCCTTCCACTCTCCCTCTCGCTCTTCTTGGAATTCGGACTTTCTACTCACTGGATAAGGCAGGACTCCTCGAGGGGAAGGCCTCTTTGCATTCATTTACAATTGTGCGCCTTTTGGTAACTCGAGTATAAATGCCCCCTGCTGCCGCCCCCCCCGCCCCAGAAAAACAGCTTGAGAGATTTTCCACTTCTTCCTGTGGGTGTCAGAACTCTGCCTTCATGTTCTCTGTGGCACAAATTTTCAGCTTTTACTCCCAGGGGTCCCAACCTGAGATGGGGGAGGGCGTTACTACCTCAGAAACAATGAACATCCTAAAAAGTTGCCCAGCTCCCCTTCATCCATCCTATAAGCAGCAATGCTTCTACTAAAATCATAGGGCAATTTTGCTAAGAAAGAACAGTTCCATGGGAGGAGCTTTAGCTCAAATGGCAAGATGAATCAGAAATTACCACTTGTGGCTTAGGTGGCAAGAGGAAGATGGTAACTTTCAGGTCTCTAGAGGTCAATGTTTTTCACTGCAACCTGTAATAAAATTGAAAAGGGAGTAGTGTTGCAAAGTAAGGAAGATAGTAATTTAACCTAGCCAATTTGGTGGTGGCAACCCTTGGATTATAGGGAAAACCTGGTAAATTCTCTGGGTTGGGTCAAATGCACAATCACTCTGAGACATGTTGGGGGGGGTTGTATTTGTGTGTGTATGCTGGGAAGTCATGGTTGACTTCTTCTGACCCCTAGTGGGGCTTGGATGTTTCTGAGAGGTGGCTTGAACATAAGAACATAAGAGATGCCAATGTTGGATCAGGCCAAAGGCCCATCCAGTCCAACACTCTGTGTCACACAGTGGCCAGAAATACCAGTGCCATCAGGAGGTCCACCAGTGGGGCCAGGACATTAGAAGCCCTCCCACTGTTGACCCCCCCAAGCACCAAGATGACAGAGCATCACTTGCCCCAGAGTCCCTATCTATACCTTCTGGCTAATAGCCACTGATGGACCTCTGCTCCATATGCTAATCTAATTCCCTTTTGAAGCTGTCCATGCTTGCAGCCGCCACCACTTCCTGTGGCAGTGAATTCCATGTGTTAATCACTCTTTGGGTGAAGAAGTACGGTACTTCCTTTTATCCATTCTAACCCGACCGCTCAGCAATTTCATGGAGTGCCCACGAGTTCTTGTATTGTGAGAAAGGGAGAAAAGTACCTCTTTCTCTACCTGCTCTTTCCCATGCATAATCTTATGTCACCCCTCAGTCGTCGTTTCTCCAAGCTAAAGAGCCCTAAGCGCCTTAACCTTTCCTCATAGGGAAAGTGTTCCAACCCCTTTTGCTATTACCTACCTCTGCGTCCGGGCCCTTGTGTTTCTTGGAGGTCTCCTTTCCAAGTACTTGCCAGGGCTGGTCCTGCTTAGCTTCCAAGATGGGGCTTGCCTGGGCTATCCAGGTCAGGGCTATATGTTTCAGTTCTTGAAACCTTCAGTTCCCTTTAACTGTGTGGTGTGCATGGCTATTGTACTCCTTAAGCTACCACTCAGACACAGCAGCAACATGGACTGCGGTTCATTTTGGTTTTGGACCAGTGCAGATATAAACCCATGCCACCTTGAGATGCATTTCCCCCTGAAAGCAACAAGAAAAGGGCTGCACACACTTCTGCCCTCTGAAGGTTGGTAGCCCCTATGAACTCTGCCTTCTGGGGACTTTGGCTGAGCTGGGAGCACCAAAGAGAACCATAAATATTCTACGGAGGAGGGGAAAGAGAACCTAGGCATCAAAGCCCCAGCATTGTACGCAACTTGCCTCGTTTCAGCACCACGGACAGCAACAGCGCGCAGAGTGCGGGTCCTCGCACGAACTGCGTCTTGCCTTGAGAGGCTCTGGCTTGGAATGAGCAGAGTATTATTTTTTTAATTATTATTATTTGGTATTATTATTATTATTAGAATTTATATCCCGCCCTCCCCGCGAACGGGCACCATGTGCCACCTCACCGGACCCCCCACCCCTTTAATTCAGCTACAAACGTCTAGTCTAGCAGGAGTCTTGCTTTCTTCTGGAGGCTCTTGGAGTTCCACCGCGTTTAGTCATTCCGTGGTGGGTGGGGAATGGAAAACTCCCAGCAGCGAGCTGTGTTGGGGAAACAGGCTCCCGGCAGACGTTTGCCCCTAACAAGGAACTAACTATTGAAGACCCAACCAACAAATGCTGAGGCCAAACTGTGTGTAGCCTGTTGATTACTACCAGGTATCGTCAGAAGCCTGCCCAGGGTAGGGAGGGTGAGCTCATTCACGTGTCTTTCCATGTTGCTTGGCATTCATTCAGCCCTCCATACCGCCCCAGGGAGTGGAAATAAAACATCCCATAGCTGTGCTGCAGCAAGAAGTAGGGAGCCATCTGCTTGCCATCATCTTCGACTGGCCCACCTGTGGTCAAAAATGGTATGGCACGCCTTTGAGCGCAAAGCCATGGATCCAAAAAAACTTCATCCTCATCCTAACACACCTGTATACACAACATGCACGACTCCTTTTCTCTGGGTGCCCCGCAGTCGAATGTTTTAGGTTTAGAAATCACCGGTGGTGGGGCCTCTCACTTTCTAAAACTGTTTTATCAAGTGGGCCATTCTGCCGCCACTTTAAAGACAGATGACCCATAAACCTGGTACTGAAAGGAGTAGATGGGGGGTAATAAACACATAGATGCTGTTGCTAGACACTGCCTTACTGCGGTGACGGGGGAGGGGGGAGGCTGCCTCTGGGAAGCCTGCAGGCGCTACTTGTTTTAGGACGACACAGGGAAGTGGAGAGCTCCACCCTCTGGGCTTAGCTGTTGATGGCAGCCAAGCGGTCCTGGAGCACCAGTCAAATGATCACCAGAGTTGTTCTTGGTTTGTCCCCCCCCCTCTTTGCCCCCTCCCGCTGCTGCGTCCCACCCTGGCCGGGGTGGCTCTCCATCGGCAATCCGTCCATGTCCCGCGCTGACGTCAATGGATCTCCCGGCCTGGCTCTATATAAAGATCCCGCCAGCGGCTCCGCGCACCCGCCTTCCCGGACCGGCAAGAGCGCACCGTGGTGAGCGCCTTCCCGCCGTCGCAGGATTGAGGCAGGCGGGGACTCAGACGGGCCCCCCCCCCCCCGCGCGCGCCTCCGCTTCCTCGACGGGGCTCCGAGTCTGCCTGCTCGTGTCGCCCCCTGCTGGAAGAAGGACTCCGAGGACCGCACTCCAGCGCCCGGCTTAGACGCCCCTCTTGCCCCGGGGAAGCTCGGGAAAGTCCCGGCTGGCCCGCTCCCTCGGCCTCTGTGCGGAGGAGAGAGCGAGACAGACTGACCCGACTCCCTGCCAGCGCGCCCGGGCTGCCCGCCACCCCCCCTCGGGGACTCACCGGCCGCTCTCTTCGCAGGCCCGGACGGCCCCAGGCAGCATGAGACGGGCGCTGCTGCCCCTCCTCGTGGCCTCGCTCCTGCTGCTCTCGCGGGCGTCCGCTCGCCTCACGGACTTCGAGGGCCCCGGGGAGCGCGGGCTGAGCCTCCGGCTGAAGCTGCTGCCCTTGGGCCAGGCTCGTCGCGCCGGCACCCGGGGGCCCCTGCTGGCTCCCTCCTCGCCGGCTCCCGGACCCGACGGGGCGGCCTTGGCGAGGCGGCCCCTGACCCGGGCGGCTCCGGCGGGGGAGCTGAGCGAGCGCCTGAAGCGCCAGGAGTGGCCCAACTCCATCGACCTCACCTTCCACCTCCTCCGCCACATGCTCGAGATCGCGCGCCTTCAGAGCCAGCAGGAGCAGGCCGAGGAGAACCGCCTCGTCTTCGAGGACCTGGGCAAGTGACGCCGACCGGCCGGCCACCCGGGAAAGCCAGCTGCGGAGCCGCCCGCCGGGGCATCCAGCCGTCCAGCAGCAGCAGCAGCCAGAGGGTCGCCGTCGGACAGCGCGCCTCTTTCGGTTCCTGGCGGGCTCCGAGGCAGGTGCTCCAGGCAAGCCCCGCTGCCGCTCCCCTCTCGGGCAGAAAAGTCTGGCGGCCAGGCAGACGGGCCGACCGCGTTGTTTTGTGGGCGCCAGGCGGGGGGCTGCGGGGGGAGTGGCACTGTGGCAGGAGGGCCCACAGCTCTCGCGTTGCCCTTCCAGTTCCCAGCAACTCGGGCCGCGGCACCCGACGGGCGTGTGGGTGGGTCGGCTCTGGTTCCCGTCCCCACGCAGCTGGCTTGCCCTGAAGCAGAGCACTGGCCGGCTGCTGCAGTCGCGATTCCCCACTCTGGCCGGCAGCGACTCCGGCGCAGGGTAGTCCTGTGCCCGCCGCCCCTGGCGCCAGGGCCGCCGCCTTGAGGAGCCCGCCTGATGAGAAACATGCTTGGCAATGGCAGGGGAGACGGTCAGTCGATCACGGAAAGCAGACAGTCCTGTTAGTTTCGATCGACCTGCATGCAGACACACACACACACACACACCCCAGAAACCGCCCGGCCGTCCCAAAGGCGGGACCCCCTCGGCAGAGGCATTATTCCCTCTGGGGCGAGGAGGAGGAGGAGGCCGCGCCTTGCGGGTCTGGAAAGACCCTGCCGGTCCCTAACCCGGCGGCAGCGGCATCCGGCGGCGCCCAACTGACTGGGGCGCCCTCTAGCGGGAAGAGCCCAGAGTCTCCCTCCCCACTGACGGATGCTCGGCCGGCTCGGCTCTCCCCTCCCGCCGAGTCCCGCCCGGGGGCGCCGCCGCCTCCTCCTCAAGTCTCAACCTGCTCCTGCCCCCCCCTCCCCCGATCTTTTTCTCCGCCAGTGAAACGCCCAAGGGGGCCTCCGGCCGGAAGGGAAAGTCGCGGGAGGGATGCTGGGGGGGAGAGACCCGGGCAAGCCAGCACCAGGTGGGAGGGTCCAGCCGAGAGCCTCCCACCCCCCCCCGGGGGAAGACCAGCCCCGCATGAGGCCGCCGCCCCCTCGACGCACTCCGTCCAGCCAGGGGCCCCCGGGACGGCAGCCTGCAACTCCGGACCAAGGGACTGAGCTGGCCCGCGGGGAGGCCGCGCCGACGAGGACGCGAAGGGGGCTCTTTGCAGCCATCGGCCGCTGGGGACACTAGCGGGGGCGCCCCTCCCCCGACGGCGCGGTTTCGAAATAAAACCACTGGCCAGACAACAACCCGCTTTCACGTGTGCAATGGGGGGGGGGGAGCGGGGGAGCCTGTGTTGCTCTGCGTTCCCGCGGGGGGGGGGCTGTGTGTAGAAAGAGGAGATCACCATAGGGGGGAGGGGAGTCACCGGAGGCTGCGGGGGTCGAGGGTTTTCATCCTCTCCTTTCGGCACCTGGCTGGCTCCCCTTTTATATTCACAGTAACTTCCAGACCTGGATCGGCGGGTAGGACTTAGGTTGCCTTCAGTCCTGAATCCTGATCTAACCCCTACACCACACTGCCCTGCCAGGCTGCCCTAGGCTATTCCTGGTGGACACCCCCTAGCCACGAGCTGGCTTTGAAGCTGTTCAAAAATTGGTGGGTGTCTCTCCCTCAAACACTTCAGGGCCAACTGCAAGAAACCAAAGGCAAAACCTCAGGGAGGGTGCTCCCAGGCTCAAAGAGGCAGCTCCAGAGTAACCAGCCAACAATTTATTAACAGAGGCTGATTAGAGGCCAAGCAGAGACCACCAGCCTGTACACAGGACACGGCTTCAGTGATCCAACAGGGCATTTCCACAGACACAAGTATTGCCAGCCAGGGAATGGGCATTTTACACCTGCAGCTCAAAATGCTGCTCCTAGGGGAAGGGGGGACCACCAGGGACCAGTAAAGTGTAGAATTCGCTGCCAGAGGATGTAGTGATGGCCACAGGTTTCAAAGGGGATTCATGGAGGAGAGGCCAGTGACTGGAGAAAACCTCCACAGTCAGAGGCAGTCAACCTGTGAGTCCCAGAACCAGAAATCAACATCAGGGGAACATTTCAGCCTCCACAGCCTGTTGTTGGCCCTCCAGATGTAACTGGTTGGCCACTGTGTGAGACAGAGTGCTGGACTAGACAGGCCACTGGTCTGATCCAGCAGGGCTCTTCTTATGTTCGTAACCCTCTACGATTTCCAGAAGCCTCAAAATCGATACCTTATCAGCTCATTTTCCACCCATGAGGGATAGCTTCAGCAGCAGCCAGCCCACCCCCACCTGGCAGCACTCCAGAGAAGAGAGTTACAAAGACAATACAATATTCATTCTCTGCATGGCATGAAAAAACCCCAAGAGGAGGTTGGGTCACAGGAAGAGGAAGGCAAGGAAGGTATTCAGATGGAGCTGAGGGGGTTTGTGGGGGAAGCTGCTACTCAGGAGGCATTGTGGGTCGCTTCTCTTCCTGCTTGCCTTTACACCGCATTTTCAGTGTTGACCTGCCAGGAGACAAGAAGGATGCTCAGGACTGTGGGTGCTCAGTCCTCTTCAGACCCTATCCCCCAGGGGAGACCCTCAGTCTTAGGGCTCGGGTGAGAAGGGCTAGTGGGTCCCTCATCACTGAAGATGCCAAGACTAGCAGAGTCCCTTGGAAGGCAGATAAAACCTCCATGCCCAGTTATCCTACGCCAACAACTCCTGCCCTTCCTTTAAATGAGCTAGCAAAAGAGGGCCTAGCAGCAGTCACCACAGGCAGTGCCAGAGAGGAGGTGGACCTAGGTGAAAGTCCAGGTCAAAAGGGCCTGCCCAGCCACCAGTCATTCACTTACAGCCTGCCATTTTTTGGTAAGACCCAAGGCGGTTGCAAAATACAAAAAGAATTGATTATTTAAAAAAAATTAAATATAGGAAGAGATATTTTGTTTCAGATTTGGGAGGAATGCAACATGGGCAGTGTATTTTTCTCCCTCCCCCCCACTCCCATCTGTTCAAATACCCCCAACCAATGCTCCTTCTAAGCTGTGGGGTATTGTGTGCAAAAATTCCACTTTGTGAGCTACTGGCATTAAAGTTGTGAGCGAGTGATTTGGCTACTGCAGAAATTAGTTTGCTCTGGAGCCATCCTTCCTGAGCTAAGACAAAAATGTGTGAGCCGGAGGCTAAGAAACTGTGAGCCAGCTCACACTAACTCAGCTTAGAGGGAACACTGCCCCCAACCCAATTCTACAGCTGCTCAAGTCTTATGGACAGCTTCAAGAGGGAATTGGATAAACATATGGAGCAGAGGTCCATCAGTGACTATTAGCCACAAGGTATAGATAGGAACTCTCAGACTGGGGCAAGTGAGGCTCTGTATTCTTGGTGCTTGGGGGGGGGCAACAGTAAGAGGGCTTTTAGTGTCCTGGCCCCACTGCTGGACCTCCTGATGGCACCTGGTATTTTTGGCCAATGTGTGACAGATGTTGGACTAGATGGGCCATTGGCTTGATCCAACATTGGCTTCTCTTATGTTCTTAAGTCCTGTTTTCCATACTGGGCTTAAAAACCCAGGGAAAACAAATTCAGTTATGGGATGGCATCATTCCAACACGGTCCCAAGATGATCGGCCAGGCTGTGGAATTCTCTAGGCAGGGGTTCTTCACTACCTCAAGATAACAACTGGAGGGCACCAACCTCCCATCCCTGATCGGCTTGAGATGGGAGCTTCCTCCACACATATTTTGACTTACCATGTGAGGCACTTGCTGGCTTGGGTCTCAACCCCGCATCTAGGAAGAGAAATGGAGGCAGGATTTAGAGATTTATACCCAAAGTGGCCTGCAGCATCATTCTCCCCGCCTCTGTTTTATTCTCGGAACAACCACCTGGGGAAGTAGGGTAGGCCGAGAGTTGAGTGACTGGCCCACAGGACCCGAAGACAGACCTGGAAGCAGCGTGATGCTGACAAGTCCATGGCTGGGAGAGAGGGATTGAGGTTGAACAGAGATGTGGAGAGAGATGTAGAGGACTAACAACAGGCTAAAGGTTGGGAGATGACTCCTGCTTCTCAGCTCCCCTAGTGCCGCTGGCTGGTCACCGCCGGAGACTAGAACACGGGATTCAGCAGACCTCTGGTCAGACCCAGCAGGGGACTGACGATGTTCTGTTCCCATGCAAAGCTCACCTTGCCCCTTGAGCCTTGGGGATAATGAGTCCTTATTTATTTAGCTACGTACACACCTGACTTTCCTCCCCAACAGGGACCCAAAGTGGCTTGCAGTGTTGTTCTCCACACCTCTATTTTATCTTCACAGCTATCCTATAAGGTAGGCCAGGCCCAAGGTCTTCCAGTGAGCTTCCAGGGGGATTCGAACCTGGGCCTCCCATATCATAGTCTGACACTCTATCCAGTGAACCACGCTGGCTCTTGTGACAACGGCCCCACGCCCCACCACAAGAGCAAGTTGTGGCCTTCTGATTGGTAAAGGGGAAGCTCTTCCCACTCCATCCCCAAGGGGTTCCTCTTTAGACAGATGATGGGGCTTGACCTGCAGAGACTGCTTGGTGTTTGCTCCACCCCACTGTATTGATCCTGGCACGTCCAGCTGCAGCTCACCTTCCGTCCCCTCGGGGGCATCCGCTGCTTCTGGGCGCTCCTCTTCTCCTGTAGCATCGCCACCTTCTGGGCCAGGTCCTTCCACTTCAGCCTCTTCTCCAGCAGCATCTGAGAGAAAGAGGAACCAGATGCAGTCAGGCCTGGGTCATGGTGTCATTGTCTCCCTGCCTGGGTCCTGGGCACCAGCGGAGCTCCACTGACGAAAGAGGGAGGAGGGAACAATTTTGCCCACTCCCCGCTACCTCCCACTGACACTACCCCCCCCCCATGTCTACTCATCCATGTAGATCCCACAGGCCTGGGAATCAACTTTCCTGAGATCAGAAAAGAATGCTGAGGGGTGTGTGTGTGTGTCAGAAGGATTTACGACCCTTGCACAAGCATATTACTGGATCCAACCCCTTGTGCCCAGGGTATGTCCAGCTGTTTGTTCATTACTGGTGAAAGCACCAGGACTTGTATATTACAAGGAATTGGGATAGAGGCGGGAGGGCAGCGCATCCCGGAGAGTCAATTCCTCGAAAGTCCAGAGATGTAAGAGAACTGGAAAAGTTCACAACACACCGAGAGCTACTCACTGTGATGTTCTCAGAGAAGGTACTATTAAACTCATAAATCTGAGAAAAAACAAACCAATCTGAAGAGTACATTGAGCACTGAACACGTTATATGTAAATATATGCACTGTTTCCACTGACAGCAAGTAGGGGTGGTTTCATATCCAATTTGGCAGAATCCCCCCCATCCAAGAAATCCAGACAATGCTAATTTCTGTGCCTAGGAAGGAAATTAAATTGTGGCTCAATACATTAAAGTACATCAAGCAGTACTGGCATATCCTCCGAGGCTTTTGCCGCTTTCTTCAAAGATATCAAATTTCCACTGCCCCACGGTATAGGAGTTACTGCTTATATGGAGCGTTGAGATTTCAAGAGGTGGCCTGACTCCTGCCTACCCCTGTGGTGTTTGAATGTTCAGTTTTGCTCAGCAGGGGAGAGACTTGGCACTTGCATGTGACCGGTGAGCTCACAGCCGCAGGTGTGGACCAGCACAATTTATAGTTCCGGTTGGTCTCTGTTGATACCAATGCAAAATGAATCCTTAAAAAACCCAAACTATTTGCACTAACACACTATTTTGCCAAAACACTAATGCCCTATTTTGGCTAAACGTATTATGGCAAAGGAGGAGGAGGAGGAGATTGGATTTATACCCCGCCTTTCATTGCCCGAAGGAGTCTCAGAGTGGCTTACCATCTCCTTTCCCTTCCCCTCCCTACAACAGACACCCTGTGAAGTAGGGGGGGCTGAAAGAGCCCTCTTTCGAGGACTGCTTGTGAGAGAACAGCTCTGAAAGAACTTGTGACTGGCCCAAGGTCACACCAGCAGCTGCACGTGGAGGAGTGGGGAATCAAACCCGGTTCTCTCAGATTAGAGTCTGCACACTTAACCACTACATCAGACTGGGTCTCTTGGGTGAAAATACATAACACAAGCTACTGGGCAGATTCACTCCTGAAGATGCATTTTTAAAAAATACAGTGCTTGAACCAGCACACAGCAGTTTCCCACCCGATGTTTTGCATTCATTCACCATCTGCAAACTTTACAGAATGATATGAGGAAGCAGCAGCAGCAGAGGAACCTGCAAGGAGCTGTGGATGAGAAACCACTCCCTGGAGCAGTCAACAGTTGGACTCTGCATAAGGTCAGGATCTGGTTTCGGAGGCACAGCTATTTGCCAAGAAAAAACAAAGCCAGCTTGGTGTAGTGGCTAAAATGCTGGACTAGGATCTGGGAGACCTGGATTCAAATCCCCCCTCTGCCATGAAAACTCACTGGACAGTCACTCACTCTCAACGTAACCTACCTCAATGTGTTGTTGTGAGACAGGGAAGACCAATGCAGGCCACCCTGAGCTGCTTAGAGAAATGGCAGAAAAAGACAAGGTACTAAACAGATAAGAGTGTGGTATTGTGCTTAGTGTCAGGTTAGGATTTGGGAGACATGGGTTCAAATCCTCACACTGCCATGAAGCTCAGTGGGTGCCTTTGGGCTAGCCACCTTCTCTCTCAGCCTCACCTACCCCAGAGGGTTGTTGCCAGGAGAAAACAGGGAAGGCTGAACCATGCATGCCTCTCTGCACTCATTAAAGGAAGGGCAAGAAAAACATTTAGTAGACAGACAGAACTCGGGTGGGAAAGAGCAGCCCGAAAGGACATATTCAAGATATTCATTTTTAGATGGAGGAAAATCTACCAGACCAAAGTGGTTCATTTCTCCTTTATGGAGTGGATGCAATTTTACCTGGTACAAGTGAAATTGCTACAGAAGCCACCTGTATCTGCAGGTGAAATTGCTACAGAAGCTATCTGCAGCCAAAACAGGTTGTAGGGCCTGGTCTACACAAATGGAGCTGAATGAGTTGCTGGAACCCCAGGGTGCGAAAGTGGACGCTGCTGCTGAGCAGTTTCTGTCTCACCGTTGCAACATAAGCAAGCAACTAGCATATCAAGGAGAAAAGGTCTAGTCTAGTTCTCTCCTGGCAGAGCTAGTTTACTAATTGCAGTCAATATGTTTTGTGTAAGGGAGTGATCAGAAGCGGCATCTTGCACTTGCACTTTGAAAAGGGAGTGTTGATGCCACTGTAAAAGGTAAAGGTTCCCTTGTTCGAAAGTCAGTCGAATCCGACTCTAGGGTTGCGGTGCTCGTCTCAGTTTCAAAGCCGAAGAGCCAGTGCTGTCCGAAGACATTTCCGTGGTCATGTGGCCGGCATGACTAAACACCAAGGTGCACGGAACGCTGTTACCTTCCCACCGAAGTGGTACCTAGTTATCTACTTGCAATTTCTTGCTTTCGAACTGCTAGGTTGGCAGGAGCTGGAACTAGGGATGGGAGCTCACTCCATCATGCGGCAACTCGGATCTCGAACTGCTGAACTACTGACCTTCCACAGCCTGCAGCCACTGAGGACTCGGCTAATTCAGTCTCGCCTTATTGTGCTACAAGTGCAGACTAGGTCATTGGTAGGGTTGCCAGCCTACAGGTGGTGGCTGGAGATCTCCTGGGATTACCACTGATCTCCAGGCGACAATGGAGAAAATGGCCTGCTTTGGAAGGTGGACTCGCGAAGAGTCGGACTCGACTGTGCGACTGAACAATAACAACAACTCCTTGGCATTACATCCCATTGGAGTCCTTCCCTTCCCCAAACCCTGCCCTCCTCCGGCTCCACCCCTCCAAAAAAAATCTCCAGGTATTTCCCGACCCAGAGCTGGTAACCCTAGTCATTGGCTTGGAATACTTGGCCAGGAGTGCAGTGCGCTGGAGAAATGTGTTCACAGGTTTGTGAAATTTACAGTCATCCTGCTGTACCTTCACCCCCAGCCCCCCGTTAAGTTCAGACTCCTGAAGAGCTTTGTTAGACTCAACAGAATGCACCTTTCCAAAACTGATGGGCTTACAAAGCTCACTTAGAGTGTGTTAGACTGAGCGGTCCCTGCTGCTTCAGGAACTCATTCATGCGATGAACAGGAGAGCCTCCTCACTGAAGCAAAACCAAGGTCCAGAATTTGGTTCGCTTCCAACAGTGGCCAGGTGGGGGCTTGAAAGTGAGAGAATCTGCTTGCCGAGTTCAATGAAGCTTGCATGTCCTCCCCTGAAATCAGACCTGGGTAAAATTATCCATCCACCCCTCCACTCCGCCTGCATCCAGAACACAGAGCTGGATTAAGACTTGCTGAATCCCTAAACGATGTCAAGTTTAAGAAGGCTTATGTCATTGCCAGGAAAATGGTAATTTTATATTATTATTATTACTATTATTAACATAATTCACAGCCCACCTTTCTCACTGAGACTCAAGGTGGATTATAAAACATGTGAAACAATTCAATCCAACAGCAAATCAAATAAACAAGGCAGGTAGGATTAGGACTACAGAACTGGGAAAAGTTTCAGAGGGCAGCCATCTGCGTCTGCAGTAGAGCAGCTAGATTTGACCAGGAGTCCAGTGGCACCTTAAAGACTAACAAAATTTGTGACAGTGTATGAGCTTTCACGAGTCACAGCTCAGATACCTGAAGAAGCGAGCTGTGACTCAGGAAAACTCATACCCTGCCACAAACTTTGTTAGTCTTTAAGGTGCTACTGGACTCTTGCTCTTTCCTGCTGCTACAGACGGACAGACTAACATGGCTACCCATCTTGATCTAGCTAAACTTGAGTCCGAGTAGCATCGGAGAGACCAACAAGATTTTCGGGGTATGAGCTTTCACGCGTCCAAGATCCCCTTTGCAAGCCCCCTTGGAAGAACAATGCAAACAAAACCCATGTACGGCATGACACACCCACAATGAAGAACAGCGGTTACAAAGGCAGAGGACACTGCAGTAATTGTAGCATCTTCTGGTATTTAGGTGCCCCTCATGATCATAAGCTCTAAACGGCAGCTTACTTAACTTGTACATAAATCCACTTCTGCCCAGCCCTGCAAACTTGATAGCTCCCCTGCCCTCTGTGTGGCACTGTTCTCCAGCCTTTCTTTCCCTCTTCTAGAAAAGGGACTCTCTGTCTGCCACTTTTCTAGCCCCATGTTGATACCTGCACACCTTTTGCAGAGCACATGTGTCCATAAAACCCACGCGCAGAGCTTGACCTCCCTCTGACCCTGCTCCCTTCCCCAATGCTGACAGCTTCCTTCTCAGCCTGCTGGCCCCGGCCTTCTTCTGGTCCTGCAAAGAGTCAGGATAGACCAGGGGCTCTACTGGACGCTCAGCCCTCACCCTTGTCTCCACAGTGGCCCAGGGATCAGATTGGCCCCTGACCAGGCTCTTCCAGGATAGTGGCAGCCCCCCCCACACACACACCTGCTGCCCTCACCTGTATGGAATTCAATTGTTCTCAGCATTTCAGCCACATGTTCCACATTGATGGAAAAGTGGTCCATGTTTTCATAGCCAGGCTCCGGGCGGTTGCTCATGGATGCTTTGGACATGTCTGTGATCCTGTTGGAGGGACAGATGCAGAGGGTCATGGCTTAGTCCATTGTTCATGTATGATCCTACCTCGCTTTGACTGGGAAGGAGAGGGCAGGAATGGGATGCCAGGGGGCTGCAGAAAGGGGGAAGTATAAATGGGGGATATCCCTGCCCAAAATGGGAAAGAGATTTCATGGAGGCCTCAAACAGAATCTGTGCTTATTCCCTTCCTCCTTCCCTGAATCCCCTTCTCAACAAGCAAACAATCAAGAAGCAAAGCAAAAACATTCTTCTTCCTCTTCCCCAACACTGAGAGGTGGGGCTCAGCCAGGGTCCCCCCCCCTCCATTTGGAAATGAAGCCTCTGGGGTTCCTTTATCAAGGAAGAGACTGTGAGAAGAAAACTTGGAACCCTTTCTTCACCTGCCATTCTCTCACTGGAAAAAGCCACTCCTAAGGTGCTTTTACTCCTCTTGCGGACCAAAAAAATACAAGTACCTTTACATTTCCCCCACAAAGACTAAAAGCAAATTTATTCCCCTGGCTTTCTCCCCAGTGGGGACCCATGGTAGCTTACATCATTCTCTTCTCCTCCATTTTATCCTTACAACCACCCTGTGAGGTTGAGGTTAGGCTGAGAGAGTGTGACTGGCCCAAGGTCACCCAGCAAGCTTCCATGGTACAAGCAGGGATTTGAACCCGGATCTTCCAGATACTAGTCCAATACTCTTAAGCACTACACCACACTGACTCTCAAATTGCAGGGAAAAAGCAAACAGGGGGTGGCTTTCTGTATTTTTTTAAAGGCAGGAAGCGATTGAAGTTTTCCTACTTTCCCTTTCTTCCCATCCATCCTCTTTGTAAAAGCAACCATGAGGCTGAATTTGCAGAAGCAAAAAAAAAAGTCCTTTAAAATAAACTCAGAAGAAACCACGTGCAGTTGAACACGAAGGGTGCCCAACACCAAGGCCTCTAACTACCAGGCAATACCATCAGAGCTGACTGCAGTTTCCAGAGTTCTTGATATAGCAACAGTCACATCTCTCCTTTGTTTGTTTCTGCCTTCCAAAGGCTCTAGGGGGCGCATAAGGCACTTGGGACGCAGATATGCCTGACACTTGGCCAATTTGTTTCCAAAGAGGATGGATTTATTTTCCCTCAGTTGTTTTGTCTCTAGGATTTCTTGCCTCGTGGCCTAGTAGTAATCCAGTTCTAACAGCTTGCTTATTAAATAACTTCCTGTTGCTACATCCTAAGAGGAGAGCAATCATAATTCAGCAAACAGTGGAATGTATGTTTCATTTCCTTTGTTGCTGATGGAGAGAAGAGTTCTGTGTGACTCAAAAGCTGGCCAAGGACTACAGTTCCAGATACAAGTGAAATGATCACTGTGGACAGTGCCTTCTTTTGAGGGACCGGTGGTGCATATTAAGATTAACTCTGAATCCAGAGAGCCGTCCTGCCCAAGGGAGAAGAGAACATGCAGGGAGAGGAGCAGGTTGGCTGCAGTGCCTTTGGAGGGACGGCAGCAGGGTTGCCAGCTCTGGGTTGGGAAAGACCTGGAAATTTTGGGGGTGGAGCCTGGAAAGATGGGGTTTGGGGAGGGGAGGGGCTTTAATAGGGCACAATGGCATACAGTCCACCTTCCAAAGCAGCCATTTCCTCCAGGTGAACTGATCTCTGTCTCCTGAATATCAATTGTAATAGGAGGAGACCTCCAGCCACTACCTGGAGGTTGGCAACCCTTGATGGGGGCAGACTCCATTGAGCGGAGCTGGGACGTACAGAAGCCTTGATGGCTCAAAGGACTAAAGTATGGATGAGTCAAGGAATAAGGATCTGGTGCTCCCCACTATCAGCTGGGCCAACCAACGCGCCCCCAGGAAGTGGAAAGCCATTCGGGGGCTCTCAGAAAAGGAACCGTTGGTTAATTTGCACTCACTTTTTAATCAGCTCCTTGGATTGCTGCAGGAAAAAAAGGAAGAGAAGGATTTTCAGACTCTGCAACAAACAAGGCCACCCATTTTGCCTCCCCCCCTCCCCTGAACCTCCCACCTGTGAGCCACGTAGCCCCTGGCCCTATCTGGAGAACACCCCAGTCCCCACCACCACCACCACCGTGGAGCAGCCACAAGAGTCCTGCTCCCTCCTGGTCGGCTCCAAGCAGCTCCAGGTTGGTCCTTGGCCGCCACCACCCACCTGGAGGTAGACAGCCATCTGAGGCTCTTCCATGGACTGGATGGCTGACTCAACCAGTTTGGAGGAGACCTCGAGATGGTCCCCGTACTGGCGGATGAGCTCTCGCACCCGCTGGACCTTCTCCTCCTGCTCTCGCCCGATCTCCTGCAGCAGCTCTTTCTTGCGCTCCTCCAGGATGCTGTACAGGGAGTCAAAGCGCAGGCACAGGTGCTGCTTCTGCCGCCGCCCGTTGTCCTGGATAGGAGGGTGCGGGAAACGGGGCTTTGTTATCAGTCGATTGGTGGCAGAAAGTGCCATCAGGCCATAGCCAACCTACAGCAGCTCTATCATGTTTTCAAGGCAAGAGACAGACAAGAGTTAGACTACCATCGCCTGCCTCTGCGTAGCAGCCCTGGGCTTCCTTGGTGGTCTCCCCATCCAAGTACCAAACATGGCTGACCCTGCTTAGCTATGAACCAAATAGGGCTAAGCTAAACCATATATATGAAAAAGTACAAATATTTATTAAGGTTGTACACGTGTTAAAACTTTCCTGATTAAAAATTGCTTTGTCTAAAATCAGACTGTAAAAGCTTGTCCACTTTACATACAAATGATGGGTAAAAACTTTACAACCAAAGACCATACGCGTTTCGGCCCCTAAGGGCCTTCCTCAGTGGTCACTATTATCTATATATTCTAGACACACATTCAAAGACCTGTTACGGAATTCTAGTATCCATATAATTAAACCAGATGTTGTTTCCTGAGATTGTTCAAAGAAAAATAAAGGGGGGGGGGAGAGAAACATCTTCATTATTTTGTCCAAATGTATAAAAGAAACCATTATTAAATAATAAAAAAGATTCTATTAAAGATAAAGTTCCCTTGTCAACTTATAATTGGACTCCTGGTATTAGTGATGGGCCATAGGTATAGTCATACTTTGGGTTGAGTTCCCCCCCCCCTTTTTTCCAGTTTTTGACCCTGCTTAGCTTCTGAGGTCTGACAAGATCAGGATGGCCTGGACCATCCAAGGTGAGGGCACCCTCAGTACAGGGTTAACCAAAAAAGTTCTTGAGTTTCCAGAATACAGATTGAAAACTTCATTTCCCTCTTCAGAGTTCTGGCACCTCTTAAAAAAAAAAAGCCCTGGGCAGCGTGGCAGCGGGCAGTTCAGTGGGAAGTATGGCAGACTCAGATTGGATGCCCTGCTTTGCCATGGAAGCTTACTGGGCAACCTCGGACTTGGCAACTCGCAGGCTTAGCCTACCTCACAGGGTTGTTGTGAGGATAAAATGGAGAAGAGGGAATGTTGTAAGCCACCTTGGGGTCCCTCCATTGGGGAGAAAAATGGGGTATAAGTGAAGTAAGTTAAACACTACCGACACTGCTTACTGCATGAGTCGAGCTCACGTCATCCAGTGCGAAGTGCGTACGTCAAGAGGAAGTCTGTACACACTCAAAGTTACAAGCCAGGGAAAGGTGGAGAGCAGGGAGACATTACAAAGAGAGGACAGTTAGAAACGGCTCAGTTGGAGACCAGCAGTCCCTTAGGCCTGGCGTGATGTGGTCCACGGGGTCGCGAAGAGCCGGGCTCGACTGTGCGACTGAACGACAACAAGTCCCTTAGAGGCCGACAACATTTTGGGGTGGTATAAGCTTTCGAGAGCCAATGCTCCCTTTGTCAGTATCTTGTGCCCCGAAAACCTTGTTGGTCTCTCAGGGGCTGCTGGACTCGAATCCAGTTGTTCTGCTGCAGACCAAGACGGCCACCCTCTGGAACAGCTAGAGACAGTAACCGATCAAAGCAAAATCAATTTAGCCAAAGTGGGTGCAGATCACTCCCAACTGCACAAAGAGTAGGACAAACAGAGACTCCGATCTAATCAAGGAAAGTGCCGTGCGAGGCACTGAAAAAACAATTAATATCTAGAATGGATTGCATTATGATGTCACGTGGTGATGTGCCCGCAACATGATAAGCAAACCTAATTAACCTCTGCAAAGGGTAGGTCATGCTGGAGGAGAAGCCTAGGCTGCACAAAATTGAGCAATAGTCCCCTCCTCCCCAGGGCAGCTAACTCCAGCTTAAGGAAGAAGTAGAAGAGAAGAAGAGATTGGATTTATACCCCGCCCTTCACTATCCAAAGGAGTCTCAGAGCAGCTTACAATCTCCTTCCCTCCCCCTCCCCACAACAGACACCCTGTGAGGTAGGCGGGGCTGAGAGAGCTCGGAGAGAACTGCTCTTGAGAGAACAGCCCTGAGAGAAACCATGACTGACCCAAGGTCACACCAGCAGCTGCACGTGAAGGAGTGGGGAATCAAACCCGGTTCTCCCAGATTAGAGTCCGCGCTCTTAACCACTACACCAAACTGGCTCTCAGAGAGGGAGCTCAGCAAGGATGGGATGCCTCCAAAGCTGCCATTTCCTCCAGGGGAGCTGATCTTTGTGGTCTGGAGACCAGTCCCAATTCTGGGAGATCTCCAGGCACCACCCTGAGGTTGGTAACCCTCCCCATGCATACCCACAGAGGAGGAAATGGAAGGTTAGTTCTTTGGTCATCCTGGAGAGGTGAGCACAGATCAGAACAGTGGGGTTGCCAGCCTCCACGCTGGGCCTGGAGATCTCCTGGGATTACAACTGGCCTCCAGACTACAGAGATCAGTCGCCCTGGAGAAAATGGCTGCTTTGGAAGGTGGACTCTCTATAGCATTATACCCTGGCTGAGGCCTGTCCCCAGGCTCCACCCCCAAAACTCCAGAAATGTCCCAATCTGGAGTTGGCAACCCAGAGGTTTTGGGGGGGGGGTTGGGGGAGACTTCCTTCTTGACTCACCTCTATGGTTTTGCAGATCTCCTCCATCTGTGAGATGATTGCCTGGATCCGGTCATTCCCTGCAACCAACATGGCGATGCCATCACTCAGCTCCCCCTGCAGAGATGTTGGGGAGGGGGAAAGTTCAGGGTTCCTCAAGGCTTAGAACCTGTTTCCATCTCCCAAGGTCAGCCTTGGGGCATTCGGAATATCACAAGACAGTTTCTCCACCAAGCCCTGAAACGTCTTTTCTCTCACGCTCGCCATTTTTGTATGGAACACTAATCTGGATGACAAGTTCTGGGCAACTTTGCCATTCCGTAGGCTGTCTTGTTTTAATAGGTTGTCTTTGTTTTAATACGGAGAATGCCTTGTGGGGACACACTGGCTGTTCAAAAAGACTACTGGTTTTTCTGAAACACCATTGGAAACCATTCAAACAAAATTCAGGTCCAGAAGCACTTTAAAGACCAACCAGATTTCCAAGGAGAGTCAAAGCTCCCTTCATCCCAATTTTGAGAGCTTTGACTTCACAAAACTTATAGCCTGGAAAGCTATAGTCCATGTCTAAGGTGCTATGGGACCTGACTCTTGCTCTTCCACTGCAGACCAGCACAGCTACCTACCTGAAAATGTTAAAAAGGGGGGGGGGGGGGGGGGAGAGACTGGTTGTTTGCAAGCTGTTCTGGAGGAAGCGTCTCCAGATGGCAGGAGTTCAGAAACATTCATAAAAGGGATTACACATAGATCAACACAAATCTGTTCTTCAGCACAAGGACTTCCTCAGTTCTTGGATGAGGTTTCTCTAGGCACATTTGATCACATACGCGCACTCTTTTTTGGAGAAATCAATGCTACAACAAAACCCAAAGCAGTACTGACAGACAACACATTCTTCACAGGTACAGACAGACAGACATGTTCACCTGTACACATACAACAGACTCTACCCCACTCATTCTAACACTTAAACCGTCTCATTGAGCAGTTTTTCTAAATCTAATTCCTCATATAAGCAAAACATTTAGTGGGAAAGCAATTCACCAGTGGGTGTATAAGAAAGAGAGAGAGAGAGCGCAATCAGTAAAGGCTGCCGGAATGCATTCATTCCAATGGTCTGACCACACCTCTATGCAGGACAATAGTCATTCCAGCCACATTCCAATTCAGTATTTACAGACATTCCCAGGGGCAATCTGTCTTAATGTCCTACAATTGTCATTCTAGTTAGAATGATCATCGGCATTCACATACACTCAGTCACTCACTGAATGCTTGGAGCCAGCCAGGACTAGCCAGCATTTAGCTGCTGTGTGCAAGGTAGGGTTGCCAACCTCCAGGTGGGGCCTGGAGATCTCCTCAAACTACTTCTCTCCAGACAGAAGAGATCAGCCCCTGTAAAGAAAACTCACTGCTCTGGAGGGTGGGTTCTATGCCGTTATACCCCATCAAGGTCGCTCTCATCTAGGGTTGCCAACCTGCAGGAGATCTCCTGGGATTACAACTGATCTCCAGGTGAGAGAGATCAATTAACCTGGGGGGAAATGGCCAGTTCGGAAGGTGCCCTCTATGTTCTTATCCCATGCTGAGGTCCCTCCCCTCCCCAAGCCCCATCCTCTTCAGGCTCCAACCCCAAAAACTCGTTATTTCCCAACCCAGAGCTGGCAACCCTGCTCCCTCCCCCAAACCCTGCTGCCTCTAGGCTCCACCTCCCCAGTCTCCAATCATTTCCCAGCCCTTAGTTGGCAACCCTAACTTACGTGTGTTGAATCATTTCTCTTCGAGCAAGCTTCACTTTTGATCACGTAAGCAAACTATTTTTGTGGAAATTAATCACAGCTCCACAGCACAGTCCGACACACACTCAACAAATGTACATTCCTCATTGCCGATTTGTTTCTCCCAATGCAATTTCTGACCTACATTTTCATTCAAATTTCTTGGACGATCCACAGCAACACGTTTACTGGAGGGGGCCCCAGGAACTGCCCCCAGTAGATATTGGTACATCTTCCAGGAATCCTTCAAACACAGCCCGGCATCTTCAGCTCTGGACATTTCCCATGTCCTTTTTCGAACACAGGGTGTACTAAAAGACCTTGCATTTGCGTTTCCATAAATCGAAGGCTGAGACAAACATTCGTTTCCTATGTAATGAATGATGTACAGTTTCCTTGGCTCTGTTGATTCGCGCAGGCAATATACATGCTTTTTAAACCCAGAAAGACTTTGTTTTGTAGAACCGTACGGATCTTTCAAATAATAGTATCTTTTCATGACACGTGGTATATTGTTCCGATGCATCTTCAGATTGGACCCCTTCGAAACCCATCTGTAGTGGTCAAAACGGAAATCCATCTGATGTTTTGGATCTTCAGAACAAGACCGGTACACATATACTTCACCTCCCTTTGGAAGCACGGGTGGCAAAGAGATTACCTTAGCTTCAATCAGGGTTTGCCCTGAAAGTATCCCAAAGACTTCTTGCATTGAAAGATCAGCAGTTCGATCTGTCATGTAAGCACTTGAGGTTGAAAACATTTTTTAAAACTCTCTTGTTGATGTTCAAGAGACAAAAGGAGGTGCTGCTTTCTTCCTTCCATGAAGAAAAGAAACATTCTGAGTGTTAACTGGATGTAACTGGTTGTAAATTCTATTGGTCAGAATCTTATGACTAGAAGCTTAGTCATTGGTGGATCATTTGAAGCCCTCAAGGGTCATTTGTCAGGAACCTCCCCAAGAGAATGCATGTGCATTCTATACTGCTAATGTGCTGCGGTGTGCTATTTGACCACTAGTTGTTCCAAATGGGATGCAAAATCATTTGGAAGTATGCAATTGTTTCTTTTTATTTTTTACCTGGGGTAAGCCTACCTCACAAAGTTGTATGGAGCCTCACTGAGATCGTGCACATGAACTACCATGAAGCGCATTACGCTGCCTCTAAGAAGCGACTGTACCTGACAGGTTTGATGCAGGCATAATTGGAATCATGTACCTGAAATCATAGGAGGAGTTACCAATTGTGTTTGTGCCAGTTGTGTGCTCTTTTGCCTCTTTTTCTGTTCCAGCGCCCATTGATGAATACCACGCACTGTAAGGCAGAGATCGTGAGTGCAAAGATACTTACCTTCCCCCACAGCACTTTGCTTGGAGAGATACCTCACACATTACATGAGAAAGTGCCACGTGTTGGATGCATGTGCGTAAGTGTTTGACTGGGCAGCTTAATTGGTTTTCACAAAAATAGCTGGCTTATATGCCCAAATGTGAAGCTTGTTTGAAGATAAATAATTCAACTCTTGAGTAACTTGTTGGAGTAAAAAACTGAGCATACCTGTACATGGGCGGGGGCTGTTATTTCCCTCTGCACTAGGGTTCCCAACTCCCAGTTGGGAAATTCCTGGAGATTTGGAGAGTTGGAGCTTCAGGAGGATGGGGTCTGGGGAAGGGAAGGAGCTCAGCCGGGTATAATGCCATAGACTACTTCACCCTCCAAAGCTTCCATTTTATCCAAGGGAACCAATCTCTGTCTGGAGATCAATTTAATTCTGGGAGATCTCCAGGATACATCTGGAGATTGGCAACCCCTGAGCGTGTGTATGTGTGATTCCCTTCTGTCATCTGACTCCTCCTCCTTTTTCAGTGCTTTTGCTCTCTCTCCTCCCCATGTTCTTACAGGAGGCAGGCAGGCAGTTTCTGCAAATAATTCCTGTGCGAGCCTGGGGCACACCCATGATATTCTTCCACTTACATGCAGCCGGAATAACCGGCCATCTAGCATAGGCTTCTATTTCTTCTACTATAAAATGCACGTGAATAAGTTTCAATAAAAGTAAGGTTTATATCATTCGTAATATGCTGACCTGAAGAGTGTTCACGCTTTCCTGACTGCAACTTTGCTACGTTAACCAGCACATAAACCCAATATAAATAACAAAGGTTGCCTATTGAATGTATGTAAATGCTAGGGAGTCATTCTGGCAAGAATAACAATTGTGAAGCATTTCGAAATTGCCCCGTAAAAGTATGCAAATGCTGGATTGGAATGTGACTGGAATGACTTATCCGGATGCAGACAAACCACTGGAATGAAGGCATTCTGACAGAACAACACACAAAGAAATCCACGCCTTTTCCCAAAATACTTTGATTACATGTCTAAATTTAAATCTAGTTAATAGAGACAATAAATGAGAGAATATAAGTGTAGAATGTGTTGTATACTGCTTACATGACGAAATGTGAGGCCTGACTGAACAAGAGAAACATACAACTCAGGAAAGTACTGGTGTAGCAGATTTTTGTTGTACGTATTGTGTAATCTGTCTTGATTTCCCCCCTGAAATTCTGCCATTTGGAGACAGTCCATCAAAAACAGCTTCTGAGCAGCAAGCCACCTTTGTTATAATGCTTTCCAATTGTCTTCTGGAAAATTATAATTAAAAATCCCTATAATTATTCTGAAGAGCCAGTACGTCCTAATAGCCCTATCATTCCTTTGAGCATTTTGGCTGGCATTAATCAACTTCTGCCTTGGGGATTTTTATAAGGACCGTCTACCTTGGGACAAGTAAATCAGAAAAAAGGGGAATGCCTCTGAGCTTGTGCAGAGTGCCTTTTCCTCACCACTGCATGATCACTGCCAGTTCCATTTCAGAGAATACAGGTCAGGGTTTGCTTTGAAACGAGGGTCCTGAGATTCGGCAAAGTGGTGACTGAGGTCCAAGGTCAGCACTTTGCAACCCGAAACCCAAACATCAGAAAGTAGTGACAGAGGAAACACAGAAACTAGAAACACAGAGCTGGAGGGGATCCCAAGGGTCATCTAGTCCAACCCCCTGCACAATGCAGAAAATTCACAGCTACCTCCCCCCCCCCCCCCCCGACCCCCCCAGTTCCACTGTGACCCCTGCTCTATGCCCGGAGAAAGGCAAAAAAACTTCAGGTTCCCTGGGCCAATCTGGCCTGGAGGAAAATTCCTTCCTGACCCCTGGGCATATAAGAAAAGGCCAGGAGAGCAAAGCTCATCCCTTCCTGCCCTCCCTCTCACCTCTCTCATGGAGGAGAAGGAGGAGGAACATTGAGCTATGTGGAGAAACACCATTTTAAGGATGTGTTTAAGTTGGTGGCTCAAGTGGTTAAGACGCTGAACTGCAGGCTGTGGAAGGTCGGTAGTTCAGCAGTTCGAGACCCGAGTGTGCCGCATGACGGAGTGAGCTCCCGTCTCTACTTCCAGCGCCTGCCAACCTAGCAGTTCGAAAGCAAGAAACTGCAAGTAGATAAATAGGTACCACTTCGGTGGGAAGGTAACAGTGTTCCGTGTGCGTTGGCGTTTAGTCATGCCGGCCACATGACCACGGAAACGTCTTCGGACAGCGCTGGCTCTTCGGCTTTGAAACGGAGATGAGCACCGCAACCCTAGAGTCGGATTCGACTGGCTTTCGAGCAAGGGAACCTTTACCTTTAAGTTGGTGTGGGCTGGATAGGAGGAGCCCATCAAACTTGAGGTAGGCCTCGGCCTAGTCTCCTCCTCATCCCCCCCTCCTCCTGTCTCCAACCAGTAGTCTGAGGGCAGCTGCCTAGAGCGGACAGGAAGTCCATCATGGTGGTGAGGAGATCTGCCCCAGAATGCTACAGGAGGGAGAGCCAGTTCGTGGATGGGAAACTGCTGTTTGAGATAGGGGAGTTTGGGGCGGGAAGCCAGTTCAGTCTGTGAGAAGTCTGAAGCCAGTCGGACAGTGGGATGGAGTCTGCAGGAGGCAGAGGCCATTGTGGGAGACATGCTGATCCCACTTTCTCCAATGAATGAAACGAAGTGATGTGCCTGCCCTGCATACAATCTAGACAGGGCATGAGTGTAGAGAAGGGAGAGATGGAGCGGCTTTGTCGCCTTTATTCTGATGCTTCCGTTCACTGTGGAGATGCCTGTAAATAGTTAAAAGTTTTCAAATAAATCCTTTAACTGTTGATGGTGAGAAGTCCTTCTGTACCACGTAGTTCCCCCAGCCACTTGGACACGCTAGGGGTGGGCTGGGGACTCCCTGAGGAGGAGAACCAGGGCAAAGGGTCAGTTGCCAACTCTCCACGGGAGCCCCAAAGATTCCCAGGAAGCCCCAAGGTGGGTTCCTAATAAGACCGGAGGGAGGTTAGGAGGCTGTCCCGCCTAACCAGAGCCCAAGACAGGGACAGTGGTGGCAGCAATACCCGGAGGCAGTGGAGAAAAACTGCCCCTTCAGGTGCCAGGTCAGGCAAAGGAGGGGTGGGCAGAGCGGGGCCTGCCAGCTGACACGGGCCCGTTCCACCACAAGCTACAGGGTACATTTCAGCTTGAGAATACCTAAAGAGCTTGAGGACAGCTACAGGAATAGGATTCCTTGCCTAGCAGTCTGTGAGGCTTACCAGCCTGCTGGGTCCTTAGTAACCCAGAGCAGGCAAGCTGCAGGCTTTTGGCTAACCCACTCAGTCCCTCTTGCAGATCAGCCACAGGAGGCAGAGGGCTCGATGGAAGGGGAAGGAGCAGCTGAAGCAGATCCCAGCCCACAGTCAGCTACACACCAGCCTGCCCCCAGAAGGTACTGCTACTCTGGCAAATAAGGAGCTACCGTCCAATAGCAGCATGCCGGGCCCAGCCGGCTGTCCATGCCCATGATTCAAGAACAGGCAGTGGCCCACCATCCACCTCTCCTCCTCCATCTCCAGAGCTGCTGGAGCACAGAAGGAGGAGGTGGTTCGGGGTGAAATACTGGAAAGAAGACGGGGTGCGTGTTTGGCAGCCCAGAGACACCTGAATCTAATTAGTAATGGCCCACACTGGCCTGATGCAGCCCAGCCGTGAAACAAACGTCTCGGGTATAAAGGATGGAGAGAGAGATCGGCTGTGGAAGCAAAGAGCCAAACTGACGTTGACCCCGCTGCCACTGATCCTCCTGTCTCTACCTTGCGCCTGTGACCCATTGGACTGTTTCTGGACTTCGACTTTTGGGCTTGCCTTGAACCTGCTCTTGTGACAACCCTCTGACTCTGTGTGTGACCTAAGGACTGAATTCTGACCATGCTGAACCAGTAGAACCTCCCCTTTGCCTTGCTTGAACAGCAATGCCTATGAACCACCCAACGCCCAGGGGGACCTCAGACAGCCACCCAATTCTTATCCTAAATCGCACACATACCATCTCCCAACAGAGCCTTTCATACTGGTTGCCAGAGCCATTCCCAGCATTGATCAGCATCCCCTTTTGGCCATTACCAAGAGTTTGCAAGGGGGGGGAACTTGGCTGCCACTAGGGAGCTCTTGAGCCCACCTGCCCAGGTCAGAGAGTGCAGGTGGCAGGAAGGTGGTCCAGGCTGTTCCCTCCCTCTTTTACCTTCTGGCGTTTGTAGACGTTGGTCAGAGGGGCCACTTCACAGTCCTTGTGGGCCCCAAAGACTTTGCACATGGAGCAGGTGGGGGTCTCACAGGTCAGGCAATAGATGTTGATCTTCTCATCCTCGTGTTCCTCACACATCAGCTGCTGCTCCGCCTTGGCATGGAGGGGTCTGGGGACCGTATGGAGAAGGCAGAGACAAATCCTGCTGAGTCCCCAGAGGTTTCTGCCCTGAATCCTGTCTCACACCTAAAGGGATGGTGGTGGTCCTGTGCATTTATTATATCTCCCGTCGTTACATTCTGCAAGGTCTCTTGCATAGAACTCGGCATGTGGAGACTCCCCAGTCTGTGTTTTCAAAAGCCAAGTTTCTGTTCTTTTTAAAGTATAAACATGGTCAAAATGTGCAGGTAGGTAGAAGCTGGAAAGGGGGAAGACAGCAAAGCAGGACTTCCCGCAGTCAACAATGGACTAAGTTTCTTTAACATCCAGCTCCCCCCACCCCCAGTTTCCCAGCCCTTTCCTTGGTGGAATCTCTTTACTTGAACAAAATCTTTGCTTCTGTTATTCAGATGGTGATTATAGAGTTTGGCTTCTTTTGGCACCGTGGCTGAGTAGTCTGGCTTAGAATTAAACTGCTTTTAAGAAAATACACACAAGACAGAGAGAAAAGGGCACCCTAAAAAGAACAAGAGAATCACAAGGAAGAGCTTTTTCTACCCCCCTCCCCAACCTTAGTGGATGTCTTTTTTCATAGGGAATAAATAAATAAAATAATAAAAACAAAAACAAAATAAGATTAAATAAATGCTAAGTTACCTCCACGCCTAAGAGATGAATGGTGAGTCTATTTATTTACCACAATTAGAAAAGATGCCTTTACCCACTTATCCCCTATTCTGACATATTTATTGCTTTGGTGTCCTTTCCCCACCCCCTTAATTAAATCAAAACAAATGTTGGCATAACCTTAGCTTGTTTTTGCATAAATTAAAACATCTTCATCATGTTACATGTAAATTTGCTGTTCAGCCTGTCTATAAGTCTGAACTCTAACTTCCATTCCAGTGTATTTGAAAAAGTACGTATGCACAGGAAAGCTCATGCCCCTTGAGTAAACCTTTGTTGGTCTTAAAGGTGCCACTGGGCTCTAAATTTGTTCTACTGCTTCAGACCAACACGGCTGACCACCTGGAACTGTTTTCATAGTGGTTAATATATGATTTGACTTAGGAAAGCATTACTTTTTCTGGAAAAAATATATTATGATGCATTCTTGGGCTACCCTTCCAATCGTGGTCCTCTAATTAAAATACGTATTTGAACATTTTACTAAACCCTTTCAATGTCTGGTTGGGCCTGGCGAAGAGAGAATGAGCCTTCTGGAGAGAAGAAGACCCCTACCTATAGTGGCAAATGAGCTCTCAGAGCAGCTCTGGCCAAAGATTTGCTGAAAAACCCATCTTGCTCCAGGTGGAAAGCATCAAATCAGGTTTCAGGTCTAGCTCTCAACAGCGCTCTGTTGGCTTCTAATAAACCACCATGAAAAATAAAAGCCCCAACTATGGCAGCTGTTCCCACACTGATTCAGCATGGCCACAGAGCGTGCGGGGGGGGGGGGCTATATATTATAGAACTGACTACATGGTCCATGTCCATCTATATTAGCTGGACAGGACTGGGGTGGAGAAGAGAGTCAGGATAATAGTGGATGGTGTGGATGGCAAACTCCAGGTGGGGCCTGGAGAACTCTCAGTATTAACAACTGATCTCGAGATATTGGTTGGAGAAAACACCTGCTTTGGAGGATGGACTGTATGGTATTATATCAGGCTGAATTTTCCTCCCATCTCTAAACTCTACCAGCCCCAGGTTCTACCCCCATTTCTCCAGGAAATTCCTAATGCAGTTGGCAACCCTAAGGGATGAGAAGGCGTCCAATAGCAATGGAAAGATGCTGGGCACATATATGCAGGGTTGTACAAGAACTAGACCTTGAGGAAAGGAACAGAATCAACTTAATAAAAAGGCCGAATGGTTCGCGCTTGCTAGCTGCGAACTCTTGCACTTTGAAGACCATCTCACGAGAAGAGCCATTTCTAAACAGGCCTCGAGCACTGCCCCTCCCTCGCCAACCACTTACCGAGATGATTCCTGTTTGTAGATATCAATTATATTCTCCACCAGAAGGTTGCGCTGCAGGCCGTAGACGCCATGTCGGTCCAGCACCACTTCGTGGCGGCAGGATGGGCATCGGAATCGGCCTCCGGAAGACACTGAAGTGGAGCCCCGTGACTGCCACAGAGGGTTGGAGGCCTGGATGGGAGCGAGAAGAAGAAGGCAGGGTCAGTGGGGTCCCCCGCCTTTGAGGACTTGAGCTTACTGTCGCCCGGTCTGAACTACCACTGAAGGGGCCTCTCCGTCTCTGAGCAGCATCAGGGCCGTTCCAGTAGCCCTGAAAAGGATATGCTCCAGGTTGCGTGAGGCAACTTACCTACCCTTGCCTGCCCTGTTCCTCTTCACCCCGGCCGTGCAGGAGATATGAGGGGACCAATTTCTAGGGGCGCTGCTCACATCGGGGACTCACAGAGGCAGGAAAAGAAAGTTGGAGTCCAGTGGCACTTTTAAGACCAACAAAGTTAGAGCAGGTAGAGAAAGAGGTACTTTTCTCCCTTTCTCACAATACAAGAACTCGTGGGCACTCAATGAAATTGCTGAGCGGTCGGGTTAGAATGGATAAAAGGAAGTCCTTCTTCACCCAGAGTGATTAACACATGGAATTCACTGCCACAGGAGGTGGTGGCGGATACAAGCATGGATGGCTTCAAGAGGGAATTAGATAAACATATGGAGCAGAGGTCCATCATTGGCTACTAGCCACAAGGTATAGGTAGGAACTCTCGGTCTGGGGCAAGTGATGCTCTGTAATTCTTGGTGCTTGGGGCGGGGTCAACAGTGGGAGGGCTTCTAATGTCCTGTCCCCACTGCTGGACCTCCTGATGCCACCTAGTATTTTTGGCCACTGTGTTACAGAGTGTTGGACTAGATGGGCCATTGGCCTGATGATCCAACATTGGCTTCTCTTATGTTTTTATTCATTATCACTTGTTGGTCTTAAAGGTGCCACTGGACCCAAACTTTGTTCTGCTGCTTCAGACCAACATGGCTGCCCCACCTGAATCTAGAGCCAGGAAAAGCATGCCTGGTGGTGTGTGGCTAAGAGTCCAGCACAAGGTTGCCAACCTCTAGGTGGGTCCCACCTATCAGCAGGCCCTCCATTATGCTCTGTGTGAGGCAGCTTCACTCATCTGCATTGACCGCAAGTGGCACCCTGCAAACAGGTAAGCTGCCTGAGGCCAGAAAAGCACTCTTCTCATTCTGTAGAATGTGCCAAACTGAATAATTGAGGAGGGAATTTTATAAACGGACTATCGTGTCGTTTGAGTGTTTCTGAAAAATATTTAGGTAGTTTTTAACAATGATATATTTTTGATTTTTGTAATCTGTCTGGAGCCTACACAGAAAAGGTCTTCCTCGCTACTGTACAAAATGAGGATTGTGGTGGATGAAGAAGCACCCCCCCCCCATGCCTGGATCCATCCTTCAAAGGGATACCAGCCACCCTGAGCACCCCCATGCCTGGTAGGGATGTGCAGCTGCTTACTATTTACTTTGTTATTTTATTTACTTTATTTATATCCTGCCTTTCTTCCCAGTGGGAACCCAAAGTGGCTTACATCATTCTCCTCTCTTCCATCTTATCCTCACAACAACCCTGTGAGGGAGGTTATGATAAGAGTGTGTGACTGGGCCAAGGTTACACAGCAAGTTTCCATGGCAGAATGGGGATTTGAACTTGGGTCTCCCAGCGTCTAGTCCAGCACTCTAACCACACTGGTGCAATACCCAAACCAAATAATGCCCGCATGTACATATCAGAAATGCTTATCATTATGTTTTGACATTTGGTAACTGAGAGAACTCCTGCCAACCTAGCAGTTCGAAAGCAAGAAATTGCAAGTAGATAAATAGGGACCACTTCGGTGGGAAGGTAACAGCGTTCCGTGCGCCTTGGCGTTTAGTCATGCCGGCCACATGACCACGGAAACCTCTTCGGACAGCGCTGGCTCTTCGGCTTTGAAACGGAGATGAGCACCGCAACCCTAGAGTCGGACTCGACTGGCTTTCGAGCAAGGGGAACCTTTACCTTTAACTGAGAGAAGCCTCCTCATCTGGTGTCTTGCCAGCTAGTTTCATTTCCTCAGGAGGCAGAAGGGAAAGGGGGCTGGGGAGACTCAGTACATACATGTTTGACAGGGGCATCATCCAAGCAGAACACTTAGCCCAGCCTCCTGCCCAAGTGGATTGTTCGGATCCTCTGACCACAGCATTCCCACCTTCCCTTCTTGATTTACACCATTTGGGAGAGATTTCTGATTCTATGTCAGCATAGATTTTGGTGGCCTGAGATATTCCATTACCTAGGCAGGGGATGGGGTGAGGGTAGTACAAGGTATAAGAGGTACAAGGGAAGTGCTTTGGTCGTACACTATAGTGTGTGCATAAAGTGCCAGCAGGTCACAGCTGGCTTAGGGTGACCTAGGCTCATGGAGTTTTCAAGGCAAGAGATGTCCAGAGGCAGTTTGCCATCGCCTGCCTCTGTGTGGCGGCCCTGGGCCTCCTTGGTGCTCCCCCATGACCCTGCTTAGCTTCTGAGATCGGACAAGATCAGGCTTGCCTGGGCCACCCAGGTCCGGGCATGCTATAGACTAGGGGAGGATATTTTATTCATTCTTTCATTCAGTACACAAAGCACTCTTAGCCAAGCTCCCGAGGTGATTAGAAATTGATAGACGCAGAGATTGCGGCTTTGTCCCCTCCTCCAGTACAAACAGGCACAGCGCCAGACTAGATGAGAAGTCATAGATCAGGGATGCGGAAGGATCTCTGATATCTCTGCGTAAAAGGGAACTGCTGATACAGGATCTTAAATTACTCAATGTCTGTAATTCCATGTAAAAGCACTAAGCAGCCACTCCTCCCTCCCCCCATATAAATCACCCCGCCCAGTTACTGTTAGGGAGGGGGAAACAGATAATCTTTCCTGTTCATATGCAAATAAAATGGGGATCCCATCCAACCAGAAGTGCACAACCTTGGAGAGGGAACAGAAAGCCTTTCCCCATTGCTACATCTTATTTGAAGCACTTTTTTTCCTTCTTATAGGGGAAGTTCATTCCTTTGTGGCCCTTCTGAAGCTACTGCTGAAAAGCAGTGTTCTGACCATGTATTTTGGGGAAGGGGCCTTGCAGCTCTGGGGATAGTGGTCCCTGCTCTGCTTTCAAAAGGCTCCAGGTTCAATCCCTGGCAGCATCTCTACTTAAAAGATTTCAGATAGTAGGTATTGCTATCTGAGTCCCTGGGGAGCTGCTGCCAGTCAGAGGAGGAGTCGGCACTGAGCATAAGAACATAAGAGACGCCAATGTTGGATCAGGCCAAAGGCCCATCCAGTCTAACACTCTGTGTCACACAGTGGCCAGAAATACCAGGTGCCATCAGAAGGTCCACCAGTGGGGCCAGGACATTAGAAGCCCTCCCACTGTTCACCCCCCCCCCAAGCACCAAGAAGACAGAGCATCACTTGCCCCAGAGTCCCTATCTATACCTTCTGGCTAATAGCCACTGATGGACCTCTGCTCCATATGCTTATCTAATTCCCTTTTGAAGCCGTCCATGCTTGTAGCTGCCACCACCTCCTGTGGCAGTGAATTCCAAGTGTTAATCACTTCTAACCCGACCGCTCAGCAATTTCACGGAGTGCCCACGAGTTCTTGTATTGTGAGAGAGGGAGAAAAGTACCTCTTTCTCTACCTGCTCTTTCCCATGCATAATCTTATAAACCTCAATCGTGTCACCCTCAGTCATCGTTTCTCCAAGCTAAAGAGCCCTAAGCGCCTTAACCTTTCCTCATAGGGAAAGTGTTCCAACCCTTTTATCATTCGAGTTGCCCTTTTCTGCACTTTTTCCAAAGCTATAATATCCTTTTTAAGGTGTGGTGACCAGAATAGCACACAGTATTCCAAATGAGGTCGCACCATTGATTTATATAGGGGCATTATGATATTGGCTGATCTGTTTTCAATACCCTTCCTAATAATCCCCAGCATAGCATTGACCTTTTTTATTGCAGTCACACGCTGTCTCAACATTTTCAGTGAGTTATCTACTACAACTCCAAGATCTCTCTCTTGATCAGTCTCTGCCAGTTCAGACCCCATCAATGTGTATTTATATTTAGGATTTTTGGCTCCAATGTGCATCACCTTGCACTTGGCCACATTGAACCCCATTTGCCATGTTGACGCCCACTTGCCCATCTTTGACAGATCCCTTTGGAGTGCCTCACAATCCTCCCTGGTTTTCACCACCCTGAACAACTTCGTATCATCCGCAAATTTAGCCACTTCACTGCTTACTCCCAACTCCATCTTGAAGCCATGTCTAGTGATAGGGAAAGCTAGACTGGCAACATGCATTAGAAGAATTTAACACCCCCACAAGCTCCAAAACCACTGCCAAGCAAGGCCCTCAGTGCCCAGGGAGGCATTCACCACTTTCTAAACAAAACCAGCCAGCCTTCAAAGGCAGTCCCTGACAGAAACACATTACCTTGCGGAGCTGGCCCTGTTTCTTTAGGAAGTGCCTATGCACACCACCTGGCAACTGGATGGGCAGTCTTTGTTCCTAAATGATCAGTGGCTGACGTGTCTTCACAGGCACAAGCAGCTCTTTTTCAAAAACGACACTCCTGGCAGCATCTCCCCTTAAAAGATTGCAGATAGGAGGGATTTTGAAAGACCTTCCTTTGAGTCCAATAAAGTGTCAGAAAAGGCAGGATGTTTTGCTGATGGCACTAGCACCAACTATGCAGTCTGGCCTATGCTCAGTCGAACTGTTCCTGGTTTTCTCTCATTTATGCTCCCAGCTACCATCGCCCTCCTCTCTTTCTTACCACCAAGAGCTGCTGAACAGGCTCCAGTGGGCGCAAGAGGCATCCAAGGCCAATTGCATCAACTGCCTGCACAAGTCAGTTCCCAGGACGTTGGGCAGGAAGGCGTCACTTAATAAATTCCCTGGACTTTGATCTATTTGTCTCCACTGGGGGAGGCACCATCCCAACCAGTCCCCAGCCTCCTGCAGGGGTTTTGAGCCAGAGGGATCACAAGCTTCACTTGGTCACAGTCTGTGGTAACCCTTCACCCCTTGACTACAGCATCGCAGTCTGAGGACCAAACTAAACAGACATGCGATGCCCA